TCCTGCGGCAGCTGCTCATGGACCTCGACGAGCCCGAGGCTGGAGCCACCAAGATGCTGACAGATAACCAGGCGGCCATCGCCATCGGCAACGACCACGTCACCAAGCCGCGCACGAAGCACATCCGGGTACGCCACCACTTCGTGCGGGAGCTCATCGCCGACGGAACCATTGTGCTGCAGCACTGTCCCGGCACACGGATGGTTGCCGACGCGCTGACCAAGGCACTGGACAAGCAGACCTTCGAGCAGCACCTTCCACGACTGGTGGGAACAGCGACGGCTGAGACGGAGCAGAGGAAGGCAGTTGAGGGGGAGAGTTGAGAGTCAGTGAGTTTCTGTTTTGTGTTGAGTCCTTCCTAATTTGCCTTCTCATGTGGTTTTGTCTTGTTTGCCAACAACACCTGCTTTGTGGTTTTTCCGTTGACAAACATTCCTTTCTCTCTGCTGGCATGCATGTGTGCCAACTGCCTCTCCTCTCCTCCTCCTTCCCCTGCACACGTGAGTTGTGTGCCATGTGTGTGTGCATGCCCGTCATGCTTGGCAAATGCCATGTGTGCGTGCCATGCAGTGTTGTGAAGTGTTGTCTGTTGTGTATGCTTGCCTGCAAGCCTTCATAGCTTGTTTGCACAGTTAAGACTACTTTCCACGTTACATTGCGTGAGCATGTTCACCATCCGTAGCGTTTGCAGCTAGCTACATATGTCTGTTTGCTCTGTGGTGTTTGAGAAGGTTTTGTTCGCAGCGTGTGGTGTCTTAGTTCATGCTCCTCGTGCTCTCTGCTTCGTAAGCAAACACTGTTTCACATGCACTGCTCGCCCCTGTTCATCATCAAGTCCTCGAGTCGTGTGCAGTGCAATGACACGCGTGTGTTTAATTCTCAATCAAGCTGCATGGCGCGGTCGTCTTGACTGAACAATTCGGGAACAAATACACCAAGACGATCAAGTTGGGTCACAAATGGTTTCAACAGGACAGCTGTCTCATCTGTCGCTCGTGGTTGCTTTGCTGAAAATAGCCTTGCGTACAAGACCGCCAAGATGTTTGCCAAGTGTTTCACCGGAAATCTGCGCCAGACCACGGACATCTTTTCCATGTCTTCGCCCAAGCGTCCACTCAACCTGGGATGGGGTATGACAAACCGGGGGGGGGGTGTGTGGTGTGACGACATGGACGACAGAAGAGTGCGGGGCAGGTCATTGATCCTTCTATCTAGCAGGAGATGCACGGCCACCATGTATGCGGCGGAAAGTACCTGAGCATCGAGAAAATAACGTCCAATACTTGAAACACGCGAGGATCGAGGGACTTGTGGATCTGAGATTGCATCCATGACGATGAATATGTGCGCATGAAGGAAGGTGATCAGGGACAGTAGAATGGCGGCGGCATACATACATACATGCATACATACATACATACATACATACATACATACATACATACATACATACATACATACATGCATGCATACATACATACATACATACATACATACATACATACATACATACATACACACATACATACAATACAATATAAACAGCAGTCACGTCGTACCTTCTGCAAGCGGACACATTCAGCGTGCTGAGCTCGCAGCAGACTTGCTACCAACGGCGCAGCAATGGCATACTCATCAGGTACCTGCGCAATGAACCAAATCAATCCAGTGCATGGCGAGAGAGATATGTGAGAAACACGCTGAGCGAGCAGGACGAAACATGACGCCACGAAAATAGCCTCTCCGTGCAACGCTTCTAGGATCTGCTGTTTGATGTGGCATCTATGCTATGCCCAATGACGCAATCACAGACGCCTCGTGTGTCAAGTGCATCTTCTACGACTTCAACCACGCCTCTCAAAATTCCACGAGGAGGTCGGCCAATCAATCACCTTCACGGCTGCCACCAACAGATGAAGAAGAACGGGACACTCCTTCATCAAGGAGTCCACTTCTCGATCAAAGGGGTCAAGCGTGGGTGGTCTGTGATTTGGAGCAGAAGGCCAGGGACATGAATGGTTGAATGTGCGAGCACGAGCGGGAGTGAGGGGGACCGAAGGTCACACGTGAGGCCGATACGCACGCAAGAGCTCCCAACGCATGTCAGCGATTGCCAGTTGGAGCACAGACAGGCACAACGACTAACGTGAGGCAGTCAAGCGGTACTTCTGCTGGCTCCACCGGGGCTGGAACTTGCATGAGGTCACGAAGTGCCAGAAGCTGTTGCAGGTGAGACAAGAAGCATGTTGCAGTAGGCACGGCGGCGTGAGAGGCAGGGCACAAACGTGGAGCTCGACTCTGGGCATTAGCGAACAAGTATTCTGGAAAAGCACTGCATGAAACACAGACACAGACAGACAGACATACACAGACATACACACATGCTCACACTCGCACACAGACACACACTCGCACACAGACAGACACTGACAGACAGACAGACAGACAGACAGACAGACAGACACACACACACACACACACACACACACACACAGACAGACAGACACAGACACAGAGGCACACACGCGCGCGCACACAAAGAAGCCACAGGCCATACCAGTGCCGTCCGAGCACGTGTGTCCGCCATCCCGCTTGCAACACTTGTTGCCCAGCCTTCCCACTGCAACAAGAGGAGCACGGGCACCACGAATATAAAATGGGCAAAGGATGGCACGAACGACCCATGCACAGGGGGGACCTTGGTCGGCACATATTCGCGCAAGCCCAAACACAAGCTCACTCAGAATGCACCAGCACACAAACATGAACGGGCACAAACTGCAGCGCCGGGGCAACGCGCCACATCGCAGGCTGATCGAACCCACACGCACTCTTTTCCTGTCGATGAAATTCCCTGTAGCTTCCCTGTTGAGCAGGACATGTGGTACACCATGGTGAGACAAGCCATGTAGAATGATCAGGCCAAGCCGGGCGCAGTTACACTGGTGGGCGATATGAAAATAAGGAAACCCCACCGAACATCACGTCTGTGGCGCCCGTGCTTCATGTGCCGAAAGGATCGCCCTGAAAGACAATGGCAAACGTGTGCCGTGTGTGTGTGTGTGTGTGTGTGTGTGTGTGTGTGTGTGTGTGTGTGTGTGTGTGTGTGTGTGTGTGTGTGTAGAATGATCCAGAGTGAGGGCATGAAGATGTGCGCGACAACATCGCAGCAGCAAGACGAGGGTCGACGACAGACTCGCGAAACCTTTGCTTGTGTTGGTCACGGCTTCGAACAAGTTGCTTGCTTGACTCTGTCAAAATGGTATGCGTGCACGTGTGTTTAGGTGGCGGCAACAGGTCTGCACATACTGCAAGCTACACGGAGCCCGCAAGCAAGGAACCCGCAGCAAAGCGGTAGCCGAGGAACGGTAGCAACAGGGATGCCACAACGCACAAGCCTGTACAGGCACAAACACAGACACATAGGCAGACAAATATACACAGCACGCACACGCACACGCACACACACACACACACACACAGCGCACTCACGCATCATTGTGTTTGTTACCTGAGCGGAGTAAGAGGCGTGCCTGTGACGGTGACTTGGTGTTGAACACGTGCCCACGACAATGCGGAGGAAGGACGCAGCCGCTGCAGTGCTATGGTACTTCAACATGGCCGCGTACACACCGTGCATGGATGCAAGATCCTGCAAGCGATTCAGGCAAGGCGACGTGTGATACGTTAAGATTGGTCAAAACACTGCATGAGACAGACCGTGACAAGCGAGCAAGCAGCCATTCGCAGATGAAACCATGAAGGAGCGATCAATGTCAAGGCTGCAGACCTCTGACGTGACGACATGCTGGTTGGCGATGATGGCGGTTTCCAAGCTGGAGAGAATCTGCGGTGCCGGATGTACGGCACAAGGTGTGGGTTCAGTGTTGCGCTCCACCTCCATGCCCCACAGCATGGCCCAGCTGATGGCAAGGGCACGTTGGCACTGCCCATGCCCATGCCCGTGCCCGTGGTGCTGTTGTGCCTGGGGCTGGATCGAAGCGGGCGCACTGGGAAGAGCCGCATGATGCGACACAACCTCTGCCAATAGGGCATGAAGCGGCCGTCGACATTCCGTGCCAGAGGAGTGGTGGCGTGGGATGTGGAAAAATGCGCTCATGTTCCACAGCGTGTTGGCAAGTGTGAGGGCGGCTGGGATGTCGCGGGGTGACTCCAACATGTTACCGAGAACGCCGACGGCGAGCTCCGAACCGCGAGCAGGGCTGTGCTGAAAGATGCGAGCCAAGAGCCCGACCAGCGCTTTCACGGAAAACGCAAAAGTGTGTTTGGATTGCGGACTCAACGCAGACTGCATGGCTGCCTTGCATGCGTCCACGTCGACATGATGGCACGCAACTGCCATGCACACAATCAGGTCTTGCAGGTGATGGCACGCGGTCGATGAGGCCTGCGCTGCATCGGCTGCAGTTCGTGCTGGCGGTGCTGTCGATGCGGCTGGAGCGGCGGCGCTCTCGGGCTCCATGATCGAAGGGTCTGTTGGGCCCAGCACCCGTTGCGCCTCGACAGCAAGCCAGTCCCCAAGCAGCAGGCGATACCACGGCCATGTTGCCGGCGCGGTGGACACCCAGCGGCCGTCTCGGTGCAGGATAGTATGGTAGTGCACGTGGTGGTGATGGTGGTGGTACTGGTGATCGGCATTGTCGTCATCGTCGTTGCTGGCGTGGCCCGTGGAGCTTGAGATGATGGTGCTGGCCAGTGCCTCCAGTGCTGGCGCAACCATTGGCATCAACAAGGAAGACGACAAAGAAGGGCTTGGCGTGGCGGTGGACGTTGGGATGCGGCTAACATCCTCTGCTTGCCCCGGCGGCGGGAGCTGAAGCAGCTTGAAGAGGGTGTGCAGCAGCATGCCCCAGTCACAAGCGTTGCCGGCTGCAAAGTTCCAGCTGCCGTCGCCGAGGACGAGCCCTGCTGCAGGAAGGTGAACCTGTGAGAGGATGTCACCCAAGACGGCGGCAGCGCGCTTAACATCGTTTGGAAACGCAGACTGCAGACCTGTGAGCACAAGCACATGGCCACCGTGCATCATAAGGTGGCCAGCTATGGCGGTGGCACTCCGGTTGCTGGTGTAGTGGCGGCTGCTGGCTGAGGATGAGACAGAAGTGGCCGGGAGTGGTCTATGGTGGGTTGGACTGTCGTGGGGGAGTGTTACCAAGCGGGCCAGCGCCCGAACAAGTGGTGGGCTGGAGAGGCTTTGGTAAGATGCAACGCTCTTGAAGATTGTGGGCGCGTGGTTACCCCAGTCGGCTGGGTTGGCGCAGATGAGGTCCAGCACGGCCTCGCTGGCGCAGACGCACAGAACGCGCTGGGTGATGGAGGGCAGTCTCTTCCATATGGCTGGCCACTGGCCAGTTGGCAGCTGGCGAGTTGTTGACAGGGCATGTTGCACGAAGGCGATGACAGTGGCCAGTGCAGCGTCCTCCTCAAACAGCGTGATCATGGCGAGCACAGCGGTGCGAGTGCGAACGGTTGCTTTCTGTTGTCGACCGCCAAGCGGCCGCACTGCTGGTGCTGTGGGTGCTTGCTGGCCTTGCAAGATTGCGCTGGCGTGCGCCCAGCCTTCTTGGGGCGGCGTTGTACTGCGCAGGCGGGCGTAAGCCAAGTGCACGACCTCGTCCAACCAGTCAAGGAGGCGATTGGTGTCATCGGCTGGTGATCCACTGCTCACTGTTTGTCGCTGCCACGCCGTCCTTGCGTCCTTGAGCCACTGCGTGTACGAGAGCCCTAGTCCTGAGGCATTGTCAACAGCACCTTGGCTCTCTCCTTGTTGGCTGTGTTGCTGAACGGTTGTTGTTACCGCTGCCGTGGATTGGGTGGTCGCTGCCTGCACGCAGCCCAGCATCACCTGATACAACGCTTCCATATCGCCGTCGTCGTCTTGATGAAGTAAAGGCCTTTAAAAAGTACATGCGCCTCAATGTAGGCCAGTGTGTAAGTGTGTGTGTGAGTGTGTGTGTGTGTGTGTGTGAGTGTGTGTGAGTGTGTGTGTGTGATGGTGTGTGTGTGTGTGTGATGGTGTGTGTGTGTGTGTGTGTGTGGGGATGTGATTGATGGTGTGTGTGTGTGTGATGGTGTGTGTGTGTTGTGTGTCGTATTCCGTGTGTTGTTCGTTTGGTCAGTTCATGCGTGCGTTCGCTCACTCCACACTGCGCAACAACCAACATCAACAGACACACATCAATGAAAAGCAAGAGAGTCAAGTAACGGCAAGCTAACAAAAGGTATTGGTCGAGAAAAATCGAGCATTGTTGCTGCTGTTGCTGTTGCTGCTGTTGTCGTCGTCATCGTCTGCATTGGCTGGGATCATGCTTTTCTCCAGTCATCATCATCATCATCACCATCGTCATCATCGTCCTTAACCACCACCACCTCCTACGAGCTACAGCAAAGGAATGGCTTTGGTGAAGCCCGTCGGTCCAATCATGCCAATGATGTCGTACTCGCTCAGGGCATACCAGCGACACACGGCGTGGTCAGGGTGCGCCTTGCACACTTCCGCAAGCGCCGATTGCACTTTCTGAAAGGCAATGACCTGTGGTTTGCAGTGTACCAGTTGCGCAACATTGGCCAAGTCGAGCATGGAATGCAAGCCAAAGTGGGTGTTGTCGTGATGAGCACGCGTGTTGAAGGCAAGCAGAAGCACAAGCAATGGTGGTGATGGCGTGACAACGTGATGTGAACGCAGATGAGCGATAGGCCGCGTGACGCACGGCGTGCACACGCACACGCAAGTGCGAACGCGCATGCGAGCATGCGACGTGTCACTCATCACGCCCACACACACACACACACACACACACACACATACACACACACACACACACACACACACACATACACACACACACACACACACACACGCAGAACCATTCACCCCACAGTTCCCCTGCTTACACGCACAAAACCCAATTGGAAAACAAGCAGAGTGGCAAATGGACAGACCTCATCCTGAAAGTCGGGCGGCTGCTGGGCAATGAGATCATCCAATCGCTTGTTTGCCAGCTCCCACATGCGGTAGTCAAGCGGCAGCAGGTTCTTGATTGCATCGCGCACCTTGGGCTCAAGCCCACGCGCCCGAGGGGCGGCCTTCATCATCTTGCCATCAAAGCGGCGGCCTGTCTCCACGGGCTTGAGATACGTGATGTCCAACAGGCTCCAGTTGAACATGCGCCGCATCAGCACCAGGCACTCATCAAGCCGCTCCCGCAACAGAATCAAATCAAACCGGGACAGGTGGCGCGTCACAAACTCCTCAAACTGCGCGTTGGTGCGCACGGAGAGCTCCTGCATCTGCAAGTTGCGGTTGAAGCGGTGTGACAGAAACTCGTCCAGCACCTGCGACGGCGGTTTCTTTTGCGCCTTGGGAATGATGAAGAAGTACAGCCAGTTGATGTAGTGCTGGCTCGGCTCCTCAAACATGATGGTCAGCTTGTAGTCACTCCCCAGCAGCGTGTTGTAGTACGACACTGCCGTGTCAAAGTCCGAGTGCCACATGCCCTTGGCCGAGATCTGGCTCATAGACATGTCGTAGGTGCCCACCTCCCCCTGCTTCTGCAGCGCCTCAGCGTTGAGCTCTTCCGGCGGGTTGAACGGCCAGCTGCCCACGTGCCGCACGCGCAGGTGGTGGCGCGCGGCGTACCTAAAGTACAGCGCAGACAGGATGGCTGCCCCCGTGCGGTGGGTGGCCGGGAACGCCACCTTCTTCACGGAGGGCTGCTTCGGGTCGTTCCAGTACATGTTGTACTGCGCCAGCAGCTCCCACACGGGGCGGAACGTGTTCAGATCAAACGTCTGTGCGCCTGCCCCGGCCAGCGCGGACCAGCGCAGGTACGCCTTGCTGCTCAGCGGCCACTCCTGCGGCGACGGGTCGTGAAAGGAGCACGTGCGCAGCACGGGGTCGTGCAGCCGCGCCGGAAGCGTCGCCAGGGCAAGCTCCACCCGCGTCTTGGGGCGCTCGGTCGGCACCTGCAGGACGCCCGCGGCGTCAAATTCGAGCAGGTTCATGTACCCCGTGACGATGCTCGTGGCCACGCCGGCGACGTTGCGGTACACGACGCGGCCTCGGTTGCGCGCATCCGTCTCGTTGGTGTAGTCGTACTCGAGCTCGTGGCCCAGCGTCGCCAGCGGGCCGTCCCAGGGCGCCAGCACCAGCACGGGGTTGTCCTGCGCGTACTCCTTGCGGAAGGTGTTGAGCATGACGAGAGCATCAAAGGCGCAGCGCCGGGCACGGCCCATGGGCTTCATGGACCGCGCATAGAAGTCGCGCAGCGCCTGCGTGGTGCCCATGGCCACGCGCACGGAGACCATGGTCGCCTTCTCGTTGATGCGCAGGAAGCCCGCAAAGCACTCCACCTGGTCCATGGTCACCACGGGGTTGTTCACAAACAGCACCAGCCCGTTGCGCGTGGGCACCGTGGTGAACGGGTTGCGCTGGAAGAACGTGTCCACCCGCGCGTGCAGGGCCAGCTCGTACCGCTGCTTGTACCGCTGAAGGAACGTTTCAAACAGCGCAAAGTACAGCACGTCCTCGGTTGGCTTGGTCACGTACGCGTCCTGGTACGCCTGCACCACCTTTGCGTTGTCAAACTCCACCACGCGCATGCCGCACTGGCCCTTGACCGTGGGCTCCACCCAGTCGCGGCTGGGCGCAAACACCACCACGTCCGCCGTGCTCCCGACGGCGCGCAGCGAGCGCACCAGTAGCGCCAGTGACGCCCGCGCCTGCTCGTTGTGGCTGTCAATCACCACCATGACCACGTTGCGCTTGGTGTCCCCCCCTGGCGGTGGCGCCGCCCCGGCCTGCACGCGCGGAGGGCCGTGGTTCGCCTCGTCCCGCACGCTCTGCAGCCGGGCAAATGCAAAGATGGGGGCCGACCCCTTGTTGTCTGCGCCGGCGCAGGGCATGTACGTGTCAATCTCGGAGACGGCGGCGTCCAGGGCGTCGATGTGCTGCGGGCGGCGCGGCGGCTCGGAAATGAGCGCAGACTGCTGGCAGATGGCGTCGTGGGCAACCTGGTCTGGGAATGGCGGGGTGAGGGTGCAGTTCCAGCTGGTGACGAGCTGCCACCGGCGGCTCTCCAGGTCGCGCTCGGCGAGCTTGTCCGTCTGCTCCACAATGGAGGGCGTCTGCAGGATGCGTTGGTACATGTCGTGGATGTGGTAGGTGGTGTTGGCCTTGACGGAGTGGATGGTTGCGGTCTTCACCAGCGTCACTGGCTCCCGCTTCTCGTACTTGTCCAGCGTGCGCATGATGTACTTCTGGTCGTGGCTGTTGTGCACGAGGTCCAGCCCACCAAACATGCGCGCATTGGTGTTGATACAGCGCACACCCGAGTGCTGGTACAGCACAGAGGAGATGGCTGCGTCCTCCAGTGCAGTGACGGAGGGGGAGTCGCGGAAGTACGGTCCGACAATCCGCAGCAGTTCCCGGCTGAGGACATATCCTGCGCCACCGTGGCAGAAGCCTATGGTGG